TCCCTTATCCCCCTACCTTTTCATCATTGTGGCAGAACTACTATCAGCACTAATTTTTGATGCTTGCAACAAAAATCTTCTTCATGGGCTGAAACTCTCTAAGAATGGACCAGTCTTATCTCACTTGTTATTTGCAGACGATTCTTTGTTTTTCTGTAAAGCTGGAGTGGACCAAGCTAATGTTCTCTTAAATTTGCTTGAGAAATACAAGTTATTTTCAGGACAGCAAGTCAATCTTCAGAAATCTGCAGCTTTCTTTAGCAAGAATACTCCTCAACAGCTTAAACAGTCTATCTGCAACTCTCTTAATGGTATTGTGGCTCACAGATCTACCAGGTATCTGGGACTACCTTTGGGCATTGGTAAATCTAAGAAAGAGGTTTTTGACTATCTTCTCACCTCTGTGAAGTCTAAACTCAGTAGCTGGAAATCAAATTTACTTAGCACTGCAGGTAAGGAAGTGTTACTCAAAGCTGTGGTTCAAGCTCTTCCAATTTTCTCCATGTCCTGCTTTAAAATCCCAAGTACACTTTGTGCTGAGTTAGCTAAATTGTGTGCTGAGTTCTGGTGGAAGTCAGGAAATCAGGACTCCAAAGGAATACACTGGAAGAAATGGTCTCTTCTTTCTCTTCCAAAAATGAAAGGAGGTCTGGGATTTTTGGATTTCAGACTTTTTAACCAAGCTCTGATTTGCAAGCAGCTTTGGAGGATAGCTACCAATCCACACCTTCTTGTTAGCAGAATTCTCAAAGATAGGTACTTTCCCAATCATTCTATTATTCATGCTGTCAAAAGTCAGAGTGGATCCTGGATGTGGAACTCCTGGTTGGAGATGATGAATGTGTTTTCTCAGTGGCTCAGAGTTGAAATCAGAAATGGTGTTAGTACCAGGATTGCAGATCATAATTGGGTTCCACACCTTGCCTCACCTACTCCACAACTCATGGAACTGGCTCGAGATCATCTTATTTGGGTTAAGGACTTGCTGTTGCCTGATGGGAGAGGGTGGAATGATTGGCTCATCAAACAAGTTTTTTCTGAACAAGACAGTGCTGCCATCCTCAATATTTCTTCACTGAAACCTGACAAAGAGGATAGACTATACTGGGGACTTCACCAGAAAGGACTCTTCACAGTCTCTTGTACATACTCCCATCTTGCTGAGAAGAAGCTCTTACATCTAGATATCCCAGAATGCAGCTCCTCAACTGCTAAAGGTAAAGCTCTCTTATTCAGATGCTGGAAACTGAAAATCATGAATAAGGTTAAACATTTTGTCTGGAAATGCATCTCTGGTTCTCTTCCAGTGGCTGTTCATCTTAGGAAAAAGGGCCTTGACATAGATACTACATGTCCTATCTGTGGAAATCTGCCTGAAACAGTTGAGCACTTGCTGTTTACTTGCCCAAGAGCACAAAGAGTATGGGATCTGTCACCTGTTCAATGGGATTCAAATACCTGCAGCACTGCAACTTTCAAGGGATGGTGGCAACAAATTTGTTCTCTTGGCTCCTCCGAGGTAGCTGAAGCAAGAATACAACTGTCCACTTATCTGCTTTGGTGGCTTTGGAAGTCAAGGAACCTGTGGGTCTTTCAAAAAACACTCATACCATCTCACAGATTGATCAAGACAGCACATTTGGACTGGCTGGAATTTCTTCATGCTGTTGGATGACTTCTGTGCATGCTTCTTTTATTTTCCTTTCATTAGCTGCTTATAGTATTTTGTTGTTGGAGTTAGTCTATCTTGCTAGGCTTTGTAGCAGTGGCGGGTGATTAAACTCTTTTTTTCCTTTTATCTTTGGTTTCTTTGTTGAGGTTTTAGGCCATCTTGTATGAGCCTCTCAGTTTGTTGTTTCCGGTTTGTGTTTTCTATTGTATCTTGTACTATTGGAACCTTTGAGCTTTAGTTATATAAATTTCTATCGTTTCGGGAAAAAAAAAATAATTATTTTAAAAAAATAAAAAATAAAAATAAAAATACCAATG